AAGAGAGATCTAACTTTTTCATGTATAATAAACTATTGTTCTGCTAGACCTGAACGTGGGAAAAGCAGCTTCTCTGCAAGGCTACCGTAACATCTTATCCTTGCTTAGCTGCCAACAAGGTGGAAGTGCTTTAATACTGTATTGCCTTATGTAAATTGCTGCTAGAGCCTTAGCCTTAGGAAGCTACAGACCTGGGTAGCAGGTGGTATCTGAAGAAAGAATGATGTCTGAGACTAGGCAGGCAAATATCTGGTTAACAGTGTTTGCTCAAACCTAACAGCTTTTCTAGGTGTGCAGGAAGTTCCCTCCCTTATGATTCATGATGTGCACAATCTGTTCTGACTGTTGATGCTAAATAGTGAACCTGGGAAAGCTTTAAGCATGCTCTCTAACCTTAACAGAGGAGATTACAACATGATTAATGGTAGGAGTTGTGATGGTAATGCTTTGCTGAGGCTTGTGGAGCCTTCCTGAGCCACTCTGTGACGTTCAGTTGAACTTGTCAGTAATTGGTTCAAGCATCCTTGACAGGAATTGTCTACCTTCATCCCAGTCTCTCACGCACCAGCTTCCAAAATGGCATGGATGGCTTGAGTACCAACCTCTCCGTTTGCCCTTAACACTCAGGATAACTAGTTCTTGTACTGAAGAGCAAAATCCTCAGTTTTAGCATCTTGCATAGTGAGCAAAATGCCACTGCTACTTGTCTCTGGAGCAGGTGTGTCTTTAGGCTTGAAGATCTCTTTAGGTATGGCTTGCAGCTGATACCTGCAGTAACAATCAAGGTACACCTGTAACAATTGAATTTGCTATGCAGGGCAAAGAACAAAGATACTCAAGCATGCACAATAACTACTCCAAGCCACATAACAGAAGTCTAAACTTAAGCTTCAGGTCTAAAATGTATGTCTAGCACTGAGAAGGCAGGGCACCTCTAGCAGAGTATAGCTGTACAGCCTCAGTTCCACCACCTCAAGCCAGCTGCATGAGCTCTGAATTACTGTGAAGAGTGAGGAGGAGGAAGGCCATGAAGCGAGATACTTGGGTCATGGGAGGGCCGTTTAGAAAGGCCTCATAAGGAGCCTGTTTTCGTAGTGTAGAGAAATCTTGATTCCTGCCATTGCTTAGCTTTGTTCAGACTGTTGAGAGCTGCTAAACTCGTCAAAAAGCATCATGCTGCAGAGCAAAACCTTTCTTTTTGGTTCCATGTGGCTGCTGTGTGTCATCCCCATCCTGCTTTGGTTCCTTGGGGGCCATCTAATTTGGAAAGTCTCTGGGAGAGAAATTCATTCCTTCTCCAAATTCACCACACTAACAGCTAGCAGGGCCTCTCTTCAGACTGCCTTTAGTCAGTATGAGGAGAGTGCTATCTTGCTCTGCCCAGAATCTGTGAGTATGCTAAGGAGCTACTGGGAAAGAAGTGGATAAACTGACTGTTACGGCTGGTGGGGGAGTACTTGTCTTCCCTGAAGTGGATGAATGAGGGGTGACATAGCCTAGAAGTTGTCCTACAGCAGGTTGGGAAGGGTGGACTGCAGTCCTTTCTCCTTACAGCTGGATTGGCTTATGCTTCAATGTGAAGTGCACCAAGCTTCCCTAGATGATGAGGAAGAAGCTTGCTCAGCAAGACAGCTTCCTTCATCACCAGGTAGAGTTTGTAGCTGAGAATGAACGAGGAGCAACACTCCTGTAAACTCCTGCAGGTAAAAAAGCAGGAGGCAGCTGTGTTTAGGTGGCTTGTTTGGGAGGCGCTATAGCAACCTGACTGTATGGCCACTGAAAACTAAATTAATCTGAGTAAAGAGGCTAGTTTGAAGCAAGGATTACTTGCGTGGCCCCTCTTGGCAATGATCTTAGTACAGTAGTGTTTCTAAAAACTAGAGAATTGTCTCGGTTAACTTCTGGGCTCGCGCTCAGGCTATGCATAAGCCAGGGCAAAAGCAAAATTTGGCCTCTCGTGGAGGCTCAGATTTGTAATTCAGCAAACCTTCTCTGTAGGCTAAAAGTATGTTCTAGCGGTGGACAATGTCCTGTACTTGTCTCTCTGACTACACTGTAGATGTGTTGGAGACTTTGGCCCGTAGACACTTGTCTGTAGCGATGACAGGCCAGGTCAGCAGTCTTAGACTGGCAATCCAGTTGTCTCTAGGGACATGAAACCAACTTTTGCATGATGAAGATGCGGGAAGAGTACCAGATTTTTTTGGATGGATGATACAGATTAAAACTGAATGCAGGGAGTTTCCTGTAAATGACAAGAACGTTAAGTGTTGACTCCAGTAAACGCCCTTGGCCAGGAAATGGTATTCCTGATTGTTAGCAGTGGGTGAACGGATGTTCAGAGGTGTTTTTTTCTCCTATTATAGCTACTTTGAGTTGTCACAGCCTGCTAGTATTGACTGGTATTATGTTGAATGAGTCTCTAGGGTTGGGAAAAAGTCCTAGGGGGTAGCCTCACCTTCACTCTTTCTGTGCTGGAAAAGCTATGGTAGAAAACACCCAGCTCTTCCAGTATGCCACGTCTGGTAACTTGTCATTTTGCCTAATCCAGTTAGTACAATTACTGCCTGAGCCTTTTGTGCAGAAGGCAGTCCCTGTCTGCTGAGTTACACGAGGGGAGGCTGCAAAGCAGAATCAGTAGCTGATTCATATTAGTGTGCTTGGTTAATAGAGATATTATTACTGTAGCTGTGTTACACTTCTCTCCTGCCTCTGGATGCTTTAGCTGGAATCTGTGACCAAAGTTTTGACCTTTATCACGTGAACTTTGCAGTATTTCTGGCAGATACCACAGCCACGTGTCAGAAATGCAGAGGGGCATTATATTTTCTTCTTTTCAGTGGGTTTGGAAAATAGCAGTGTCCTGTGCTTCAGGCTCCAGCACTCTCATTGTTACGAGCCTGCAGGTAGTCTGCACCAGAAACCAATGTAGGTCTACAGCCTAAAGGAACTGCTCTTTAATTAGCTGGAAAGTCTGTTCCTCTGCCTGCGGACTGCAGTGGAAATGAAAAGTTAAAACTTCACAAGTGATACACTTTCTTCTTGTGTCTCCAGGGGTACATTGCCCAGGCTTGACTTGGGTATGCTGCAAGACGCTCTTGCTTCTGCAGCTTTGAGCAGAGGGTGGTGTAATGTCTGTGATCGGCTCTGTCTTAAAACATCACTCTTACCGTAGAGGAAAAGATTAACTTCTGTTTGATTGTGCTTCTCTGTGTGCAGGCAGCAGTGGAGAGCCCAGGTGAAGGTGTGGGGTTGGGAGGAAATAGTTGGTCAGCTGTAAAGGTGATATACACTGCTAGTAAGCTTGTGTCTTCAGTGAAAGCAGCTGACCTTGGAAGAAAAAAAAAACTAGTGAAGTGCTGCAAAACTGTGCTGAGTGCCTCTTTTAGCTAAGAAGCACTTAACTTTTCCCAGGGCTAAATCTTATACCCCCAGCATGAAGTCAGATGGCTTACGTAAGTTGATCTTCCTCTATGGTATACGTGTCAAAACATAAATACATTTCATCAGGACAGTGCATTCCAGTGTTACAGTTCCTGGCTGCTCTAAATGACACTGGCTAAAGCACTAAGGACATAGGTCAGCACACTTCAACAATCTTTTTTTTTTTTTTAAAAGAAACAACCAACACTCTCATACCCAGATATATTTAGCCTCATGGGCAAAAATCCTAATGTACATTAGCACATTCATTAGAAAACTTAGGTGGTGTTTATAGCACAACCTTCAGAAATGAGTGCTGCTTTCTCCTGTTCTGAGTTCACACTACAGTGTGATACCTGGGCAGCAGAGACTGCGCTCTGGCTCCTGGTTACTACATTGGTGGAAGCAGCTGGAGAAATAGTTACGCGTGCAGAATTTTCCATTAATCAGAGGAAAAAGTCCTATACAGATGGTATATAGGATAGATTACGGCTAGTAATCCTTTTGTGTCCTAGAAGATTAAGGATATCCTGGTGTAGCTGCAGTCAGCTGACTTTTTTTTATTTAAATGATCGAAAATTCTTGATGCAATTCTGCAGAGGACCAAGGCTCTTCCAGAAGCCACGAACAGTGCTCTGTGAATGTTTGTTAAAGGAACGGTCTGTTTAAGTCCAGCCCTGATTATAAATTTACTGGAACTTAACTTTTTGCCATGTAAATAGCAGCAGCTACAAGATGGCTAAGAAATCACTTGCTGGATGGCTCTATGAAATCTAACACAGGCATAAGAGAGCTGAATTTTAGGAGGCGATATAGTGAGTGTCATGTGAAGAAACAGAGCATTTCTGAATCCTGCTGTCCGGGTCGCCCCAGAAAGTGAAGATGAATACTTTGGTGGAAGAAGAGGACGTCTGAGCACTCCGAATTTTCTGGCATGGATCTGTATGAGGATTACAAATCGCCCTTCGATTTCAATGCTGGAGTGAACAGAAACTATCTTTACCTGTCGCCTAGCATAAACCTTTCTCCACCTGGATCACCTACACTGGCAAAGTCTGGTAACTTCCTTCTCTTTCTTTTTCAAAACCTCTATGTGGAAAGCTTAGTGATTAATACCTGTAAAAAGTAAAGCTTAGTGATTAATATCTGTAAAAAGGAACTTCTCAAATTAAGAATCTATAAAATTTGTCAGAAACACAGGTGTAAATGAAGGCAGAAGTTGACTTGCTGTTAACTTAGCTTTGGTGCTGTTAACTTAACTTTAGTTGTTTATTAGCTTTGGTGTGTCATGTAGGTAATATCTCATGTGTTACGCATTTACCAGCTTTACTTTCTTTGTTATTTCTTAATTCAGTAGAAAGGCAGTTTGAGGGAAAACGAAGTGAGCAAAAAAATTAGGAACAAAAGAGCAAGTTCTGCAAGATAGGAGTAATTGGCCTAGTTTGACTATTAGATTTTTTAGGGGGCAGGTAGGAATTGCATACTTAGTATGACTCCAGAGCTCTGGATAGCCTAACTTCTGCTCTTGCCTTAGTACTGAAAATATCACTGATTAATGAAAATGACCTCTCAAACCTTTACTGTGTTCCACCTAGCATTTAAAATGCTGCAAATCGAAACACTTGTGCTCCCCTGAGGAAGTGGCTGTTGCGTGCGGTGCTGCAGCGGCATCCATCTAGTTTTTAGCTGGTAACCTGTAGTACAGAACACCTCCAGCTGTGCCTCCCAACATGTCCTAGTCTGGTTTTACCACCTTTCCTTTGCATTCTTCGCTGCCGGACATATCTTCCAGAGTAATTAAAAATATAGAAAGCTTAGCCCTACTTCAGGTGTGACAAAGCAAAGTTATGAAGGTGCTGATATATTTTTTTTAATGGACTCATTCTTCAAAATCTTACAGAAATGTACATCCTGTGCTTTCCCTGGGAAATCTCTGTGTGAACTCAAACAAACCCGTCTGTGAACTCGATGAGCTAGGGGCCTCTGGGGCAGGGTTGTCAGCTTTCACTTCTGCAATTACTGCATCTTTCACCTCTTCTAAAGCAGGGGGAGCAGTCCTTTGTGTCTGGTGGTGATGCATCACCATAAGCACCAACCTTTGCTAGGCTTCTTTGGCTATTTCATTGACTTTGAATGAATATACGATATCTGTTTGGGAGAAGCCCAAGAACTTTCTTCCGCAAGTTGAAGAAATGTGCCTGGCTTTGGCTTTTTCACCGAGATAAATGGGAAGCGCTTAAATTTGATCTTTCTTACATATTGCAAAATAAATATTCTCTGTAGCACTGTACATTACTCAAGTATTGGAGTGATCTTATACTCTTGTAGCAGCTTGTTCTCCTAAACTCTAACAAGCACCTTTTTTCTTTAGCTTTGCCAACTTATAGTGATAGCCAAAATACTCATTCTGAGTGTCTGACACAGAATACATCAGTCTAAAGATAAGCTCTGTTAAGGCTAACCCTCCTCCACCCCAAAGGCTGCTCATATGAAATGACCAGTACTTCCTTAAACTGCTAATGTTTACAGCTAATCTCTGAATTCAGGCCAGAAAGAGGTAGAAACTTCTGGTCAAAATAGTGCACGAACTTGGGTTGAAACAGGTAGAAACTTCTGGTCAAAATAGTGCACGATCTTGGGTTGAAACCAAACAAAGCAAACCCCAAACCAGAAAACCTGAGTGAATTGAATGACTGATGCTTTGCCTACCCTGGCAGGATAATGAGGACTTAAGTGCCATTTCCCTGAATGTGACCTGTGGAGTCCTAGTCAACTAACTTCTTGTCTTTATTTGGTTCATTTAAGTAGATCTAATAAACTGCTGGGATAGTATGTTAATCTTAGAAATACAGACACTTAAAAAATGGCCTTAAAAACTAGGCAAGTTTTCCCAGTACCAGATAAATATTCCAATTTTTTTTCCCCAACAGAATTTTTATGCTGTTTCAGAGTTGATGTGAAGTGCTCAGCTAAACTTGGTTATAGCAGTCAGAGTACCAAATGACTGAGTTTTAAGTACTTTGAGAGTCTAAAGATGCAAGAGAACTAACGTAATGAAAGGTAACAAGTTGGAAGCCAGTAACAGCAGTTCTCCTGGTGAACAGAGAAGACCACAAGTGAGAAATGCTCTCTTAATAACAGATTGAGCCATTTCCCTGGTTTCTTGCCCCACACCTCACAAAAAATATCTAAGGTGGGCTGTGTTCCTTTCCTTACAAAGCTTGCTCAAAGCCAGGATCTTACTGTCTGTCAGCCCTAGTTTATGGGATGCATTTGTGTTGTAGCTATGCTGTTTGCTGTGGCTTAACCTATTTTCTCACTCCTCTGCAATGGGATGGTGGAGAGAATCAAGGAAAAAAGGTAATACTCATGGGTTAAGATAAAGACAGTTTAATAGGACAGAAAAGGAAGGAAAGAAATAATAATGATGAAAAAAGAATATACAAAACAAGTGATGTACAATGCAATTGCTCACCACCTGCTGACTGATGCCAAGGCAGTCCCCGAGCAGCAGCCACAGCACCCCAGCCAGCTTCCTCCCCATCTTACTGTTCAGCATGACGTCATATGGTATGGAGTATCCCTTTCATCAGTTGGGGTCAGCTGTCCTGGCTGTGTCCCCTCTCACCTTCTTGTGCACCCCCAGCCTCCTCACTGGCAGGGCAGTATGGTAAGCCGAAAAGGCCTTGACTTAGTGTAAGCACAGCTCAGCAACAGCTAAAACATCAGTGTGTTACCAACATTATTGTCATCCTGGATCCAAAACACAGCACTATACCAGCTACTAGGAAGAAAATTATAGAGTCATAATCAAAATTAACTCTATCCTAGCTGAAACCAGGATACCATTATGGAGTTCTGTGGGTTGTTATCTGTATAGACAACGGCTTCATGGTCAGGCTGCCCAGCGTGGCCTTCCTGTAGCACAGGAGAACCCTGTGTCCTGCAGGTATTGAAGTGAACAGAGCAAGCAGAGAGGTGAACAGTAACGGGATGGGAGGGGAGATGCCAAAATAAAGACTGATGGGAAGGTGCTTGCATACTTCAAATGCAGCTAAATAAAAAGTAATAAATGGGTGGCGGGCAGAAGACGAGGATGGAAGAGAAGAGAGAGGCATGGTTAAATGTACAGTGAGGTACGGAGGACTCTGAGTAGCAGTGATTTCCTGTCTTCCTAAATGTCTGGAAATAGGAAGGGGAGGAGTGATCATTCCCTTGCATCATAGCATTGTGTCTTTAAGTTCAATGTAGGCAACAAGCAGCACAAACTCCCTTAAAACAGTAATTTTCCAAAGAGAAGGTACATTCCCAAAACAGAAGCTATTGCTGTGGGAGGCAATTCAGCGTGTTTTCCTACTGCTGGATTCACTTGATCTATTTTTGGTGAGATAATCCAGATGACTCTTCATAACCAGATTGAACAGACTTTTAGCTGGATGTGCTAATGCTCTTGGAGTCAGCGTGGTCTTTGGTTCTTGCAAACTTTCTGAAATGGCTTTTGTGACGACAAGCTCTGTAGACCTTGGAAGGCCTGCAGATGAAGAGCAAGGTCAGGAGTCGGAGGCTAGCCTTGGGGGGTTGTGGAGTGTCAGGGGAAAATGCAGTTTAAATTGTTAGTTTTCCTTTAGTATAGGCATATGTAATTAATAGGATAAACAGCAATTTGACAAAAAGCCATGGCATTCTTAACTGTTTGATGTCAAGAAAAGGAAATACGTTGATGTATAAAATAAAAATTACCTGACTGTGAGAGACGAGCTGCTCTGCTTTGGTTTGGCCGTTAGACTTGAACTCTTTTCTGCCCTAGATTTCTGCCAGAAAATAACACATTGGGAAACCTGTAGGATCTATGTTAGTGTTTCTATAGAAGACAGATAGTGATCTCTGGAAAAATATGGTATAGATTTCATAAATAAATGCAGAATGGGGTTTCAGTTGCTTTCTGTGTGCTTCCTTCTCAGTGTACTCTGCGGTAACTTAACATTTACAAATGTTCTGTCCATGTAGCAGTGTGCTTCTAGATGACAGGTGTTCTGGACACAAATACAGGCAGAAAACATACTGTTTTGGAAAGAATTTGTGGAATTGAACTTCACCTGAGTTCAGTAGCTTGATCAAGAACTAGGCCTCTTCATTTCTTAAACTTGACAGCTCCTAGGAATGTGTTTCATAGAATATCTACAACTAATTACAGACTTGCAGAATCTTTTTTTCCCTGACTTTTCAGTTGATTGTGATGTAGCTATTTGATATCAAGTCTCACAATGAAATCATAGTAGTGGCCACATTAATGAGTTTTTGGATTCCCAGACCAAATGGTAGTATGGAGCCATCAGAAGCTGCTGAAAAGAGGATGAAATTTTGTCTGGTTAATTACTATAATGACTAGTAAGGGACCATTACGTAATATATCCTCAACTTGTTTTAGTTATGTATTTATATACATATATATACGCGCACACACTCTCACCCTCTCTAAACAAACAATCCTCCTGGCTTTTTTTTTCCTTCTACTTTAAGATTTTTATTTTGGTTTTGTTTTTGTTTTTACTATCTGTAAAGCTATATTACCTCTTGAATACAGAATTAGTTCTGGGAATCCACAATCATTCCAGCATGCAGTCTCTCTTTAGAGAGAATTAGAACAGGATTCCTTTATTCTGGCAAACTATATGTTTAAGTGTCAGCTACAGAGATTCAAAATGGGAAATGTTTTGCTGGAAAATCTGTTTGTTGCATTAAAAGCTGTTTAAAGTGATCTTGCTGCAAGCACTAAGGACTAAGAATAAATTAATCTTTAAAGTGAGCGCATCATAGTAATACAAATAATATTGTTCTCTTTCCTGTCCCTGAAGCTGTGAAGGCGAAAGTTGAGGAAGACCATGGGGATGTTTGGGATTCATACAGAGGAGATTGTCAGAGTTTTGGTTTCTGGATTTGGAAGGGGAAGAGGCAGAAGTGTGAGCACATCCTCGCCAGTCTATTCTCAGCACTCCACTTCTTTGTCTGAAGTGTGACAGCCTTTTGTTCCCGAGCTCCTTCTCCAGACTTTTATCTGCCAGTTATTTAAATCCTCGATCTTTGTTTTCCTCCTAATGTTTAGGTGCAAAACAGCAGCTTACTTCTAGTTCCGTGATGTCTGTGCCTTTCTAGTCACGGTGGTCTCAGTTACTAGGGATAGAGAGGTTGAGCAGGGTATGGAGGAAGAGTTCATACTTGCAGTGCAACGCTTTTCTCCACTGTTGCTGGCCTTGCTTGTTGTGATGACTGCTCCCGGTGTGCTGAGAATGGGCGTTTTGTTAAATCTGATCCACAGAGTAGTTAGGGAAGGAGCTTCTGCATTGGTCTTGAGAACCTCTAGCTCTTCCAGAGTTTCTGTGCCGCATGAGCAAGAGAGAGCAGAGCACGCACGGACTCCTTGGCAGAGGTTGTGTAGGAAGCACTGCTTGGAACATAGTGTTCTGCACCTTGGTTTCTATCAGAGTAGTGAGACATGTTGTTCTCAGCGTTTTTCCGTCTCCTGTTATAGCAGCAGTTGCAATTATATTGAGCTTTAGTGCAACTTGATAGAATGAAACAGCCAGTGAAACGCCTCTGGTTTTTCCTGTATGCTGTAGTACTTGGGGAGTGTGGCTTTGGTGTCTTCTCATCAGTGTTCTTCGTGCACTGGCACAAAAGGGCTGTATATTAACATTAGCTGCTATCTGGCAGACACGTGATGGTCTGACGTTTAGTGGTTTATTCACCTCAAGGGCTGCTGAGAAGTGACTCTATTCCTGAGGTTGGAGAGGATGCTGCTGCTACAGTTGGCATGGCAGAAACACTCTCAGAAGAAGAACAGGATGAGCTAAGAAAAGAGCTTGCCAAGGTAAATCTTTTGCAAATAACTCTTAAACTGGTTTTGAGAATGAAAATCTGGGATAATGCCGTCTTTGAACATACAGTTAATGCTTTGTGTATTTATTCTGAGTGTCTAAAGCTGGGTATGGCACTCCTGTGTACTGTGGGGAGGGAAAGGGAAGGTGTCAAGGAGAAAAGAACATCCAGTTCTAGCTATGGGGAATTAAGCTAGAAGCGCTGAGTGTACAGATCTTAAACCAAGATGCATAAACGCCTAATACTTTTCTTCCTCAAGTGAGAAGAGGGTAAATAAGCTGTCAAAGAGAACATGGTTGGAAGCCAAAGCCAAGTATTGTCTCAACTGTTGTGCAGTACCTAGAGCTGTTGTTTTCATGCAGGACGCTTTGCAGGAATATCCGTGTTTTGCTAATGTCTAACCATGTAACTATTCTTGTCCATAGCTCAGACAGCAGAATTTTTTTTAAAAGCGAGTTAAAGTAGTACTTTTCAAAGGACAGTCAAATACTCAAGCCTGAAACATGCATTTCAAACAGCTGTCAAAGTCAAGTTTTATTGAGTCACCAGTCCTTTCTTTTGTAGCTCTATGTGACTTTAGGACCCTAATAAAAGACACTAACTTAAGCTGAAGGTTGGCAGGGGAAGGTTAGCTGTGAAATAAGCACATTTAATGCAGTCTTGGTTTTGGTAGTCGTGAGTATTATTTCATGCCAAACCAATCAGCTGAAGATAATGAGGGTCCTGCTAGGGTACGTCACGGTGGACTTCAGACAGTATACAAAACAAAGGTGCATTCAAGATATTGGTAGTTCCTCAAAGGGGCAGCCTGATAACCTAAAGCAGGGTGGTCCAGTCTGGATGAGGAAGTAGGGTGGGATGTATGCCTTCGCTTTTGTACATACGGCCTTAGTGCCTCTGTCTCATCTATATAGCCCACAGAATGGCGTCATAAAACTGTTTCAACATCTCTGATGATGATCTGGTCATGCCTCTGTGAGAGACTTAAGTGACATCTGTGTAAAGAAGGAAGTATACAAACAATACAGTTTTCTAGTTGCTGAACAGCTGCTGTGTGTTTTTTTGGTTTTTCTTCATTGAGTGTTTAGGGGTTTTTTGTTGGTGTTTTTTTCTGTTTGTGTGTTGTTTTTTTTTTTAACTGCTCAGTCTGCCACCATTTCCACTCCTGCTCTGGGGAAGGCATTGCTGTGGCTGGACCCAGCTGCAGTTGCTGGCTTAAGCCACGAAACAACCTTTCTGGTCAAGCAAGGAGATAAAACTTGTGTATGGATCAGACATGCTCTGAGCTTCCTGATACTGGTCATGCATTGGGATCCCTTCTGATGTGGAAGGAGAACACAGGCTTGGCGATTGTCCCAGGTTTGACTAATCTTCAAGCTTCACAGAGGCTAATGTTGTCTAAAGATAGTGATTTCTAACTATACAGTCTTTTAGTTACCAACTTCCTGTGCATATTCCAGGAACAGAGCTAGCTGCAGGTAGATTACTTTCTCACTGACTGGCTCTTGTTGTAGACTATGTTGGATTTCTCTTTTGTTATTTAGAAACAACTGTGAAGCAATGTTAAAAATGCATTAGCCCTCCCATTACTGATGCCTGTTAGATGTTTTAATAAATACCCAGCTATTTAACTATGTCTGTTGCTTGTTAACTTACCTCTCATCAACTCTGCCGCCACAGGTGGAAGAAGAAATCCAGACGCTCTCACAAGTGCTAGCTGCCAAAGAGAAGCATCTAGCAGAAATCAAGAGAAAGCTGGGAATTAACTCATTACAGGAACTAAGGCAGAACATTACCAAAAGCTGGCAAGATGTTACATCAACCACAGCGTATGTACCAGTTCACAATGATTGTGTCAGCTGTTGAGGTGAAAACTGTGTAGTTCTTGTGTCATAGATAAAACCCTCTGTTCTTGCGAAATGAAGTGAGTGTAGATAACGCAGAATTTATCAAGGGAAGTTTTAGTGCAACTTAATCATCATAGGTTTCTTTAAGGAAGGCCACTATTAGCCACATCATCTCATGCAAAATACAAATGATTGTCCATGATATGGGTGATTCTACTACACTTTTTGTCTGACAGATCTGAGATACCAAGGTGTCCTAAGTCCAACAGCATACCCTTCTTTTCCAGCCTGAAAAATTGTTGTAAACTGAGCTCATGCAGGAAGAGTGCAAAGTCACAGTTAATGTTCTTGCCAAACACAACTGTTAGCTTAAGGTCTAGAGTGAACTGCCTTCTGCAATTAATGACTACACAGAATGTAAGAGGATGTACCTCCGGCTGTTCATGGTGAAGTTTATTGACAAAACCATTCATGTTTTAGATGGCACAAGAAATAGACCTCTGTTCTTTTTCAGTGTGTGTGCATTGTGTGTATGGCATTGGGTTTTTGATTTTGTTTTGTTTGGTGGGTTGTTTTGTTTTATTGTTGGGTGGTTGGTTGGTTGGTGTTGGTTGTTTGTTTGATTTTTTTTTCTTTTTTTTTTTTTTAAGTCCTACGATAGATCTGTTCTGGTGGTGGGGTAGTAGGCACATGTTGGTGAACCCAATCTGAAGTCTGAGGTGGCAGAGATGCTGTAGCCAGAGGGACTGCAATGGCTTAAAATAATCTCTTAAGTAGCTTGTCCGTTTGACTTCACAGTTGAAGTATACCTTTGGGTTTGATACAAATATAAATACACTAAAAGGTTCCTTATTTGTTCTATTAAAATAACTACAGACTTAATTTTGTTTGAACACAGGTACAAGAAAACGTCAGAAACCCTGTCTCAGGCTGGTCAGAAGGCTTCTGCTGCTTTTTCATCTGTTGGTTCAGTCATAACCAAGAAATTTGAAGATGTCAGGTAGGTTTCTTTACCTTTTCCCAAGTAGTTGCATTTTCGATTCAAGCAAGTGATCACTGAAATTAAATTTATGCTGTTAATGTACCTAGCACTCCTAAAAGTTAATCTGTGAAGAGCCCTCAGCATCTGTTTTAGGAAAGCTGAGTGACTTGCTGCAAAATCTGTTTGCATGTCCTAACTGATGCAGAAGAGTTCTGTGGTGTGTATCTTACGTATGAAGGAGAAGCAATGTGCGCTCTTGCCTCCACTGCTGCTCTTAATTTTCTGGTAGGATTGCAGGTGGCAGCATCTCTGCCTGCCTCTGTGTGACGCACATCACATAGCATTGTCGTTCCTGTTCTCTGACTTTCTCAGCTTGTAGAATACTATATTTAAACAACTACTGTCTTTTACTGTTTGTGGTTTAGTTTGACTGTTGGGGTTTTTTGTGGTGTTTGTGGGGTTTTTTTTTGGTCTTGTGTGTGGATTCCTTTCAGGTGTGTTATTTCTTTGTAAGCTTTCTACCTCATAGCAGTGGCTTGATTTTATTACCTTTTTAATAGACTATTGGCACTTTTTAATTAAAAATTCTTAAATATTTGCATACAACATATTTTGACTTCGTGTCAAATGACATAACCCTTCATGCAAATTAGGTAAGTTTTGGTGGTCATTTTTAGCACTATTGGGAGCTGGATGCAAAACTCTTCCTGGATGCAAGCCAATCAGATGCTTAGCTTGTAATTCTTTGATTATGTAATTTTTACTACTAGAACGTATACAGCTGTTAATCTCTGATTGTAATTTGTTGTGAATAGTGAATCAAACTTATTTTTCAGTTATTGGATGAATAAAAATTCACATATTCTAACAGAATATTGCTGCTTTGGAAAGCAGTGTAATAAAATCAGCCCTGTGTTTTAAAGTGCTGCCATTAACCTCCTTCTTGCTTTTTGAAGTCCAGTGAGAAAACACTTTGAGGTGCAGCTACACAGTTACATAATTTTCTTCAGATTTATCAGAACTTCCTTTCTCTCTTTAATGCTTACTCTGGCATTGTGCAGACTACAGGCATTTTCACATTCCTTTAGGTAAGGTGGGCGCAAGAATTGTTTCTGAAACTAAGCATGTAGTCAGACTGTCTCCATAAAAATCTTTAAATAAGTTTTGTCTGTAAAAGGTAAGTTTTTTTTTTCTCCAGTGTTAGTTAATGTAAAACTGAAGCTCTTTCAATGTCAGGGAAGACGTTTCTTCATGTTCGCCTGGTAACTATCCCACAACATGAAATCTTGCAAATACATAATAATCAATTAGTCTATCTTCCTTGTAAGAAAGGAATCTGTTAAAATTATTCTGCAAATTTTTTTTCTAAAGAGACAGAATATGGTTTTGAGGTCAATGGCATGCAGAATTCCTCCTTCTCTTTGTCTGTACAGTGTTTTTTTTCTTGACAGAGTAGAAATTTTCCCTTTTTTGCGTCTATTACAATGGCTGTTCAGCATTGTGACTCTAATCAAATCACTAGAGTCTAAATGTGAAATAGTTTATGCATTCCCTGTTCATAGTTTGTCTAGTGAAACAGTCCTTATCTTTGAGTTGACTACTTTAGCAGCTCCAGACACTGAGTGTTTTAGTTACTTTGGCTGCATTGCTTTTTTTCTGCCTAGTCTAAGCAAATATTCCATGTTAAGTTTTTGCTAGAGTTAATTCCTGTGTAGCAACTTCTGTCCGTTGCCTCTCATCCTAGCTATGCGCACCTCTATGTCTGGCTTCATCTTTTTTTATACTCTCCCACCAAGTAGCTAAAGACAGCAGTAGGATTTCTAGAAAGATGTAGGGACAGTAACTAGAATACTAACTAGGAGCTGTAGCTTCAGAGGCAGTGGCTGGGGAGGAGATGGGCAGCAGAACTCAGTCTGAAGTGAGCTCAGTTTGCTTAAGTATAAGAATAGCAGCCTGTCTGAAATGCCTTCCCTTTAGCATCAGTAAGACAGAGGGAGCCTGGAAGATGTCTCTGTACCTTCTGGATGCAGACCTCGGCTGCTCACGTGACCGGGTTTGCCTTTCTTCCTTAAGGCCATGGTGTTCCCCTACTATTAGCCTATTGCGTTTGACAAGGACAAGCAGAGACTCACAGCTCTCTTCTGGCATCAGGAATTTAAAACCTCAAAAGGAGAGTGTCCTCGTTACTCAAGTTAGTGACTAGGTGGGCACTGAGTGCACTCCATCAGGAACTGAGCCACTGGGAGCGAATGTAACAGGGCCAGATGAGTCCACATAGTTGGTGTGCTTCTTGGGGAGAATCATGGCAATGGAAATTCAAGGTATTGTAATACAATCAGAAGCAGCTGGGTTTAAAAACAAAACAAAACAAAAGTGGGAAGAATTAGTGCTGTTCAAGATCTTAGTTGCACTTAACAGGAATTTAAAAACTTTTGAGGTTTTTGCTTTCATGATGACCAGGTTCATGTGGGATTCAACCAGTGTATTCAGGTCTCAGGGTTATGTGACGGCTCAAGTGGTGTCTGCTTTTAAGACTGCACAAGTCTGAACTTTAGAAAGCTTTAAATGCCCAAGTTCTTTCCTGGAAATGTAAATTGATGCACCTGATGCTTGAACAAATACTGAATATGCAGGTGCATTTTTATTCTTAGTGTCTTACGTGGTTTCTTCATGATGGCTTCGCTTTTAGTTCAGGGCCTTCTCAGCTATAATGGCATGATTTCTTCTGTGCTGGACTATTGGCACATGTTTCACGCAGCAGACATCACATGCAGGTCTTCATTCTTGCACTGCAAAGTGGTTTTGGAGGGAGTTGTGAAAGGGAGTAGGGCAGATCGTGGAGCTGTGAACTTGGAAAGTACTGAAATAGGAAGAGAGAGGACTGGTAGTGCAAAGTCAGTGCGTTATTGTTTCCTTTTGTGTTTGTTTCCTCTTTTTGTTATGCTGAAAATGAACTCTGTTCCTTGTTGTGTTTCTCTTAATACCTTTATTCTTCTCTATAAGAACGTTTTGAAGTTTTGATGAGGTAGCCATGCTTGTGTAGCCAACATCCAGTAGTATGTGCAAACCAGCAGTAGTGCCAAGATGTAGCACTCGGCAAACTTTATGAGCAGTCATGACTTTGCACTTAGCTCCTCTTGCACTGCATCCATGTTGAGGAGCAGAAGTCCTCATCTTCGCTCTGTTCTGAGATTGCAGAATAACTTTCTTCACTTGCTTTGGAAGTCTGCTATGATCGTGGACTCCTAAATATCATCATTTATTAGCATATCAGCTAGAAATCAGCTATGAACAAAAGCAAATAACTAATGCTATGCACTCTTAAGCCCATGTTTTCCAGGCAGGGACTCTGGCATACCTCGTTTTGCCTTTTCAAAATGTGAGGCAAAGTAGTAGCTATAAAAAATAATCGTGTAAAGGATAAGAAAGCTTTTAATGTGATACAAGATATGTGGAAGGCTGGAGAGCAACTTACTCTGTTTTGGTTTTTTTTTTTTTTCTTTTAAAGCTAGGGGATTGCTTGTGAGCATTGTAAAAAGGGCTTCTCTTCAAACTGCCCAACTGGATGGCCTAGTTGAGTGAGTGCTTTGATGTGGCGTTGTCATTTGTGAAAAGAAATACAAATTCTCTTCTTTGTAAAGCTTTCCAAGGCTTAATTGTGCTTTTTTGCACTACTTGAAGAACAGGCGATTTGATGCTAAAAAAAGATCAACTGCATTTATCTAATTCATAGATTCATAGATT